AAATGAACAAACATTTTGCCCAACCTTGGTTAGCAATCAGTCTAAAAGTCGAATTCTGAACTGAAAACTGATTGGCCATGGGACTAGAAATTCTACCTGTAGAAGCTATTTGTGGCAACCACAGCAGTGCCACTTGGCATGCTTTTGCTTTTTTTTTTATCCTTATGTTTTACAAGAAGTCTACAAGTTCAGGAAATTAACATGTTGGATTTTACAGGGAACTCCTTTTAGAATTTATTTACTGAAATAAAGCAACTTTCACCCAAGGCAACATTTATGGAGCATGATGATAGTTTGATAAGTGCTGTGATGTGAAAAAAAGCCTAAAATTTTAAATGACTTCTTTTCTTATCTCTTTATCTTTATTCGAAAACATACTGGTTAAAGAAATCAAAATAGACAAAGTTTCTGTATTAATTTGTAAGACGAGTTGTCTTCTATGTGCCATATCCCTTCAGACTCTCCACATTTTCCTTCTCCTTTGTAGCTCTTAGTAAGGTTTGGCTTTTTGCTATCTCTGTCCTGCCAAACATTTACACAAACTTGTTAGGTAGGTTATGTGATGCTTTCCCCTGATTTAGAAAATTTGATACTCACAGGAGATATTAAAGGCAAAAAAGCCTTTAATATCTCCTGTGAGTATCAAATTTTCTAAACCCTCTTTCCTTGTTATGTGCCCTAGAAATTTCAAGTATCTCTTTCTGATGTTATGTATAAGTGTCTTTTTTGTATCCAGTTTCCCCTCATACTTTGTTGTTACCCATATGTTCAATCCATTATATTCTCAACATCCTTCTGTAGAACCAAATTTCTGTTTCTTCAAGTCACTTCTTCATCTGTTAGGAGATTGTCTAACATTCACTGCTATATAGGAGGACTGATATTATATAGCAATTTTGTACTTTTTTTTAATTAAATTTTCCCATTTCTTAATATTTTGCTTAGCTTTTGGAAGGTTTCTTTCACTATCCCAATGCATCTTAGAATTTTGTTGTTGCATTTTCCTTCATCTGTGAAAACATTTCCTAGATATTTTCATGTTTGTACTTGCCTTTCTTGGTGTCCCCAATTCATAGTTTGTATCTTGCCCCATTCCTTTTGCTAACAACTATACATTCTGCTCTAAGACAAGCAGTTATTATTTACATTTTTCACATTTGGACTATTGTCTTCATTTTTGTTGTTGTTATCACAACGTTTTGGCCATTGTGTTCTCCAGCCTTCTTTAGGTATTTGTCAATCTGAGTAACCTTCAATGAATTTCAAAATAAACCATTTAATCTATGGGAGTAGATTGTTCTTGTTCTGTTGTCTATGTCTAGGGATATATTGTCTTGTCCTTTATTTAGTACTGAAGCAGTACTAAGTAACAAACAACAATCTATTCCTGTTGATTAAATAATGGTTCAGTACCAAATTCCCTGAAGCTTACCAGAAAAGACAGATTTGATTTGTTTAATGGCACATCAACTCCTTTATGGGTCATTTAATATGATAAACAGTGATATGTGTGTTTTATGTTGTAGTTTAGTTAAAATTATATTTTGTCAGACAGTTTAATTTTTTTAAGAAATTGTAGGATATTATAATGATTAAGGTCATGAAAGAGTTCTTTCATGTGGTTGATTGGTTGATTTTATTTAGCAGCATATCAACCTCCAAGAGTTACTTAATGTCAAAATCTAAATATTTTAAATGCAATTGCATGACGTTATTTACAGATAAAATGTATTGTAGGCCTATATAAATATACATTCTTGGCCATTCTACTATAAATATGCATTTTTGGCCATTCTACTATATATAGGTATTGCTGGTTATTTTACTATAAAAATGTATTTTTACACTTTCATAGTGTTTTACTTTCATTTGGGAATTCACTATTTGCCCATAGCTGTGATCTTAACAGGCACTACCACCCCAGATTAGGTTGGACTGGAAACAATAGTATTCAAGAGGTGGTTCCACACAAAATCTCCAATCTCCCAATCAGGTCTTGTTGCTGGATGTAGTTTATCATCATACCCAGGACTAAGAAAAGCAGAAGACACAATTGATGAAACATTGCGAGAACAATACTTGAAATGTAAATAAAAATAGGTATTACTGAAGTATATTTTACTAATTGTATCTTAATTGCAGGAAAAGTTTTAATTTTTACTTTTTTTTAAGATTTGATTAATCTAAGTTCTAATCTCTTTTACACACTTCTCCATTATGGCTTAGAACATATTTTTTTTTTCTGCAGCTGTTGCTGGAGAAGATCTGGTAACCAGTAGATGCTCTGGTTATATGGTATGATTGCTTTTCTTCTGCTTTAGCTATGTCACCTCATCCAGATAATAAGGTTACCTAGAAGACTTTATGACTTCATGTCTCTTCATCAGCAGTAAATACTGCCTTTTGGTAGTAGTCAATACTACAAAAGATAAGGTTCCCTTTTAAGGCGTCATTGTATCTCTTTACTGCTCCTCTCTTTTGCTTACCAGAAAGTGCTAATATCAAAACACAATTAACAAAAAAGCAGCTAAACTGGTTTATCAGTCCTCTCTTGTTAGAGCTAAACCAGTTTATCACTCCTCTCTGATCTAAGCTCAATTGAGAATGAGAAACATACACAGCAACTAAAATGAAGACCAAAGACCATAAGTTATATAAAATATATAACAATTACAGGTCAATTACATTTAAGCCTAATGACCACTCCTCCTGCTTACAGAGTGGTGGCTGGTAAGACTTAATATAAATTGATTCCAGCACCTTCAAATAAAATTCTCCACTTCATTACATTCACTTATATACAAATACCCTTGGAGAGAGTATGACTCCATCTCTTATCCCCACAGCTATGAGTTAAATAGTAAGATTTGTATCTGGAAAAATTATTATCTCTGAAAAATTTTTATTATAATATTTGTTTGCAGTAAAAAAAAAAAAAAAAAAAAGAATTATTCTTAACTTACAAAATTTGTTTAGGGTTTAAATAATCCACAAAGGGTTGATAAGCCATAAAAAAAATCAATCAATCAAATGAAATTCAAAATTAGCCTTCCTCAGTACTGACAACATGTTTCAGTTGTAAGTCCAAGTACATTCATGGTTTCTTAACAAATGTTCAGCCATCACTGAACCAATTCCCGCATATATACAAATTGTCCACCTTAGCCTTGCAGAATATTGGCTGGTACTTGTTTACTGATCCTTGCTATCCACTTTGACCTGTTCTACTTACATAGTCAGCTTCACACTGACATTTGAATTGGTACCACCCCTTACCCTGAAATTATATGATGGAGAGGTAGAACAGCCTTCAGGATGTCTCAACATTGGTTAATCAACAAAGATAATACTTGGATTAGCAGACATAACGGCACACAGAAACTTTGCACTCACCTAACCAATTTACTGTATACATATATAGACAGGACATACAAATATAGTGAAATAGTGGTGAAGTCTTGAGGAAAGTTGCTGTCACTTGAGAAGATTCCAAGTAAGACAGGTGGAGAAAACAAGTACAATAATAATAATAAAAGACATTACCGTTGTTGGAGTTTTGCGGGTTGTTTAATCTCCAACAAAACCTCCCAGATACTAGTGATGTCATGATTTTTAGTTTTATTATACCTTTTCATGCCTGTGGTATCTTTTCATACCTGGGGGTATCTCAATGGTGATCACAAAACAAAGTGATGAAAATCTCCTTAAATCCTCAGAACTTACTTCTGTCCTCTTTCAGAGTGGTGGAGTTTATAATGTTTTAAATCTTCCTTGATTCGCAACCTAATACCACATTGTAAGCATCATTGGACCCATTCCAAGTGCCCCAGTAATTATCAGTACTACTGTCACTCATCTACCCTGGCTTTTGCTGTCCTCTTAAATAAAATGTCAATCATTATCTTCTGTCTTCTTAATTTCTGTTCTTTTATTGTTCTTGTGCTTTGATAATGTTTTTCTTTTTCTTATATTCTTTCACATTTAGTAACCCTCTGCATCTTAGTGGCTTTATTGCCTTGCTTGGGGTGAAAATGATTAAAAAACAAAAAAAATGCCATCTTTTTTCTCTGATGGTCCTTCCTGACAGGAATTGTCACACATGCATTGTCTGGTACAGTTTTATTTGTTTGTTCAATGCAATTAAGTTAGTCATCTTGATTTGAACTTGGTGATCTATCAGAATGTTAAAGTCCAATAATATCTTGTTTTTCTTAGTGACAAGGACAGTTTCTAGTTTATACTCCTCTTCCTCATGTGGCCAAACTCAAAATGCTTGCACAATTTCCAATGAACGATTAATCCATTTAATCATATCAGTTTTATCTTTTAATCCTTTTGGATCAGCTTACCTCATGCATTTTTTTTTATATATATTGAATTCTCAAATTTTATTTTCATAAGGAGCTGTACCCATGAACTTTCCACATGTATTGACAACTAAGAATATCCATGCTGCTGCTTCTCTTTCATACATTGCATGTATCTTCTCACTCACTTCCTTATCCTTTCCAATCTACAGTTAATTCATGTTTTTATCTAAATATTATACAAATATCAATTAATTTCAGATGTGAAAAAAGGCTAGAAAATGTGCAAACATTTTTTTTACCGTATTATTTTTTTTATTGTCCTTTTACTTCATATCTCCATAAAATAATTTAATGTATCACAATTTTTATGCCTTACCAACCCTACCTACTTTCCAGTGTTTGACCCATTGTCATTTGACATCAACCCAGAAAAACTGTCTTGATGTCTTTCATCTCCAACAATATATTTACTTTTCTTTTCACTTGGATTTTTTTCTTACTTTCATATATTACCTCTTACCTTCCCTTTTTACATTCTTTTTTCCTCTTCTTTTTTACATTTTATAATTCCTTGCCATTTAATAATACTGTCTAGTTTTCTCAGTTAGAAGGCGTAACTGACTCCAACAGAGAAGAGCTGAGAATTGAGCAGATACTACACACTGATCCAAGGTAGAAAAGCACAATTAATTAGTCATGGCAGAGAGAAGAAAGAAAAAGAATGGCAGAGGGGAGGAAAAGGAAATATTGTGAGAAGAAAAAAAAAAGAGTGAGAAGAAAAGACGGACTGAGAGATAAGAGAAAAATAGATAGACAGAAAGAATAAGATGGACAGAGAAAAGAAAGAATAAGATGGGCAGGCAGAGAAAGAAAAGAGAGAAGGAAGATACAGAGAGAAAAAGACAGACAGAGAGAGGAAAGAGAGAAAAAGGCAGAAAGAGAAAGGGAGAAAAAGGCAGAAAGAGAAAGAGAGAAAAAGGCAGAAAGAGAAAGGGAGAAAAAGGCAGAAAGAGAAAGGGAGAAAAAGGCAGAAAGAGAAAGAGAGAAAAAGGCAGAAAGAGAAAGGGAGAAAAAGGCAGAAAGAGAAAGAGAGAAAAAGGCAGAAAGAGAGAGATCTAAGACAAAAGGAAAAGAACAGAAATAAAGAGAAAGAAAAAAGAGAGAGAGAGAGAGAGAGAGAGAAGTGATAGACAGAAGAAATAAATGTTGTACATATAAATAGGCAGAATAATATAGATCATTTTTTTTAACTTTAGTTCACCCATTACAAGGCCCAAGATCCACTCAAGATAGAGGGTTACAGTGTGAAGTTGTTAGAAGAGAGGTGGTAAGAAGTGCATATTATGAGGATATGTATGATAGATATTGATTGACCTTGGACATGAATAAGTTAAGATTATAGTAGTCAAGGAAGCATCCTCTCAGGAGTCTGTTCCACTAGAGAAGAATCTGTCTGAGTGGAACATACTCCTTACCAAAGGAACACAAAGTGAATATGGACGAGTTGGCACAATGAATATTACATTGTGGGTCCTAGCTGTGAAGGTCTGAGCTGGTGGGACTAAGGAATATAACTCATTTGAACATTTGTCATAGCAATAGATTAATGAGTGGCTAGCTATGTTTCATCTGAGGGAGAGGGGTGACAGATTGGAAAATAAGTCACCACCCACAAGGCTGCATAATCACTTTTGAACTCTGTCAAAGCTGGACAGTACCTGCACAGACATAGCAGCAATATTCCATCAAGTAATCCACATAGGATAGTTCATCATGAGGTAATATTTACTGTGTTCATCTGGTTGTTCATTAATACTTCCATTGTGCCCTATACTTTTGGCCTTGTGCCAAACTTAGTAAATGATTCATATAACCAATATTTGTCACACAAAAAATTTTTCCACTTAGTTTTTTTTTTACATAAAATTGTTCTTGATATATATAAAAATGTATAGATAGATAAAAATATAAAAGTGACACTGACGTCAACACCTAGAGGTGACAGTCTGTTTTATGCTTAAACATGAAACAGACTGTCGCCACTGGGTATTGACCTCAATGTCAACTTTTATATTTACATATGCTCTATCTTGAGCACTTTAACACATAAATATAGCATACCTTAAAACTATATATATATGTGTGTGTGTGTAAAAATTCAGAGACAAATAAAATATATCAAGATACTTTCAAATATTTGTTAAAAAATGAGCATTACATGATGGAAAAATTCCCCAAACTTAATAAAAAAAAGTTTTATTGTCAAAATCTTTAGGTTATTATTCTGAGGAAAAAAACAAAGGATTTTTTTTATATAAAAATTATATTTTTTAATCCTTTTTAGAATCTTTGAAATTTTGGTTAAAAATGTTGTTTTTTTTTTGTTTTTTTGTGTGTGTGTGTGTGTGTGTGTGTGTCAGCAGGTAACCAAAAAAATATAATAATAATTTGTAGTGCAAAACACACTGATTTGGAAAATCTTGAAAAAATTAGAAAATTGTCAGATTTTAATGAAACTTTCAGACTTCTTCATAAATCTGTCCATATTTCTGAGATCAGATATTGTAACTATTTACATTGTTCAGGCTGCTGTCCTCATCTTTATTGACATATTAACAATATTTTGGCTGTTGTATGTTCCAGCTGTCTTCAGCTGATATTTGTCTGAATTTTGAACCAAATACAAAACATACATATTAACTATTCTGTGTTTGGTATTCTGTGTCACTAATTTTTGAGAGAGCACACATATCTTGATCTGAAGCAGAAATGCTGATCTAAATGGGTACTATAATAATAATAATAATAATAATAAATACCTTGATGTTACACCAAGCATAGCACTAATAGCTTCTGACATAAACTATGTACATGCTTTTTCTTGGTGAATTACTATGGATCACAGTAAATATTTTGTTCAGTACTACAAATTTGCTTGTTAGATGCCTGACCCTAACCAATTGGGTATGTCTACTAGGAACCGAGGCACTGTGCATCTCTGTTCATATGCAAGAGTAGTGAGGGAGCATAATGGCTAGGTATCGAGAGAGTTGTTTTTGTTTTTTTAAGTTTGAAGGATGAGGCAGCAAAAGTGACTTGGGAATCGCAACTGAATACTTGTGAACACTATCAGTCTGAGACCCTCTGAACAGACTAAGTTACCCAACCTTAAGTAATTTTAACTGGGTCCCACAAGCAATGTTGTGCACTGCTTTTATCAAAACCTATGACAATACCATATACATTTGACTGACCTGTGTGCTTCTTATATGCTTATCAGGCTGAGTATCATTATGGGTACATTGGGCTTTGTATATTTGTACTCCAGCACCACTTTGTTGGGATGCTGCTACCTCACTCAATAATAATAATAATAATATTAGCTTCTTTGTAGCTAAGGTAAATATAAAATGAGAAAGGAATCCTAGGAAATTATTTAATCACAGTAATGCTTAAAATCAGGGTTATTATGAATCAATAGTTAAGGAATGGCTTGAAAAATTCTAATGCCTCCAAAGCAAAACTATCATTTAATTATCATCGAGAAACTTTTCTGCCTGCCATCAGCATGGCTGATGCTAACCTCCAGGAAAGCAACTCATTGCGTCTTCTTGGATGCATGCTTTCCACTGAACAGAAGTCATTGTTTATTTTGGTTGTTCTTGTTTAGCAGCATATTATTTAATGCTGAAATCTAGATATTTTGTATACAATTTTGTTTTTGAGATAATAATGGTTTTAGAGATACAAGTCTTACTAATTAACTCATAGCTGGAAAAAGAAGAGGTGGGTTTATACCTTTCCCAGAGGTATTTGCATGTAAGTGAATGTAACAAACCCAACTGGAATTGGAACTTGGCTCTCTGATTAACAATTCTGTGTCATTATCCATTACACCACCTGCATATCCAAGCTTACAGCACCTGATATTCCCAAGCAGTCACCCATCTCCCTTAACTTCAGTGATCGTAAGGGAACCGGGTGTTTCAATGTGAAAAGGCCATAAACCCTGACCAGAAGAGTGTGATTGGTTTGGTTTGTTTTGTTTTACAGCATATCAACCTGAATGGGTTATTTAATGTCAACATGATTTTTATACACTTTCATAGTGCTTTGACCACAGTTTGGGGGGTTAACTATTTGCTCATAGCTGGGACCCTAACAGGTGCTACCACCCAGAGTCAGGGTGGACCTGAGAACACCAGCAATTAAAAAGTGGTTCCATGCTCCTCAAAACCTCTTGATCAGAGGCCTTGCTGTTGGATGTAGTTTATTGTCTTAACTAGAACATGGATGTAGTTTATCGTTTTACCTATGACAGAAGTGCTGTGATTATATTGAATCAATTGCCAGGTCTACTACAAGTAATGTTGATTCACTGTGTTATGCTAGACAATTTTTGTCAGAATCGTTCTTGCACATTTAGAAATCTACCATTCATTCATGCACTCAATATTGCTGCCATATCTAGCCAAGTGCTTCTCTTATATATCTCAAAATTCTTGACAAAATCCAAAGTAGAATCTCTAATGTTATCGGTACTGACCTGGCATCTCAACTTCAGTCACTTTCGCACTGCTGTAACATGGGTTCCTTCTGTCTTTCCTACAAATATTTTCAGGGTAATTGTTCTGATGAGCTTTCTTCCTTGGCACGTCAACTGCATGAATTTAAGTGAGATACTAGATTGGCAACTAGGTTTCACAATTTTACTGTTGAACTAGCTAGCTAACACAGTGTTCTATTCTAATAATTTTTTTTCTTTGTACGTCTCACCTGTGAAACTTTTTGCAAACCTACAATTTTCAAAAATGCAACATCAATCGCCATCTTTTGTCTTTTTATTCTCGTTCACTCCCACTAATTCCTCGTATCTTAGTGGTATTATCACCTAGATTGGAGTGAAATGATTAAAAAAAAAAATCTATTATGATAAGTTTCAAAAATAAATTTCTACAATACAGGCAAGTGCAAGAAAAATTAATATCCTAGATGAGTGGGAATTTTCCAATAACTAACTGCATTCTTCTTTTTTGTGCCATATCCCTTCAGGACACTGAAGATCATAGCTCTCCACAATTTCCAGTTTTTTGTAGCTTTTAATAAATTTAGTATTTCTGCCATCACTCCCAAACCCTGCTCTGCCATCCATTTTCAAGCTCGCTAGATAGCTTATGTATTGCTTTCCTATGTTTCTCTTACCTTCAATTCTGTCCTGTGAGTATCAAATTTTCCAAGCCCTCTTCCCTAATTATGTGTCCTAAAAATTTCAACTCTCTTCCTGATATTAAATATAATTGTCCTTTTTGCTACCATTGTCTCTAGAATTTTGTTATTGCTCACATGTTCTCACAGGTATTCTATGACTGTGTCCTTGTGCCAGACTAATACATGTCGGTGCAAGAAAGATAACTAATGTCTTAATAAAGATATTGCCACCTGGTAGTATTTTTATTACAATAATGTACTTTTTGTACTAAATTTCATCCAATACAAGGCTCGAGAGCCGCTCAAAATAAAGGGCTATGGAATGAGGTGTGTGATATGATTGTAAGAGGAAAATTGATAGATTTGCTTTTTCTGGCTTATCAACCTTCTGCTGGTTACTTAAAGATGAAATATATTTTGGATTGTAGGAGGTTGCTCACTTGCAGTACCCGGTATTCTCAAGTGGTCCCCCATCCAAGTATTGATTTGGCTCAACTGTGCTTAACTTCAGTGATTGAATAAGAATCAGTGTTTTCAACGTGATTTAGCCATAGACGTAAGAGGTGACTGAAGAAAGTGAAGATTAAGAGGATAAAGAGAATGGATAATGATTGACTCTCAATCTGAAGAGGTTAAAATTATTGTGTTCCAAAGAGTAGCAGTTCTTAGTAAAAAGCTATCTGAGCAGAACTTCCTCCTTACAGTAGGAATATGGAGGAAATGAAGTTGATTCGACTCTATGGCTGTAACATGGTGAGTCCTAGCTGCAAAGGTTTGAACTGGTGGAACTAAGGAAGGCATTCATCTGAACATTTGCCATGTAAGTAGCGATTGATTTGCGACTTTGTGGTGAAATCATCTCCTATAAAGAACACACAAACTATTTTGAACTCAAGATAATAAAAGAGGTTGCAGAATGTAAAATAAATCATCCCCCATAGAACACATAAATGATTTTTACAAAGGTAGGAAACTAAATGAAGTTGACTAAGCTGTATGTCTAGACACATCAAACACCAGAAATTTAAAATTTAAATTAAAGTTTAGCGTCCCTAGATATTCAGCTTTTATCTTGATGTATAATTATATAATCAACATTTTTGTTTATACTTTCTCTATCCCCCTACATATGTTTAATTCCATTAATAAGAACATTGTTTAAGCCTGATGAAGTCCTTTTAAGGATAAAATGTGTTACATAGAATTTTTTTTTTCATTTTGTCATTCAATTTCCCACCATTAGTCTGATATATAGAGTTTATATATCATCTATCCATATAATATGCTACTAGATATAAAGTGGGGGGTTAGTTTTCTATTGTTACTATGTAATAAACTGATCTCCTGATTTATTATATATTAATATACTAATTATTAAAAAATATTTAAAGACTCACATGTGGAAATTAAATAATAGACTTAAAAATATACTATCATTTTTTATGGCAGGAGTAAAGTTGTAATCATATAAAATATGTTTTACAATAGAATTTTAGGGATTACTGCTCTCTAAAACACCAAGGCTGTCCAACTTAAGCCTTTTAATAAATGACCTCTTAGTTATAATATCTGCACATTAAATATTTAGCTATTTAAAAAACATACACCTTACTGGTCACTAAATTTGGTGTGTACAAAAATAATGGTGATTGTGTGGGAAGAAAATGACAGAAAGAGGAGAGAAGTCATGGAGAAAAAGGAAAAGGAAAGATAGTGAGAAAGAAAGAAAAAGAGAGGAAAAAAGACAGATAAATAAGAGAAAGATAGGGGATAAAAGGAAAAACTAAAAGTAAGACAAACAGAGAAAAGAAAGAAAAAGCTGAGACAGAAAGAAGAAATAGATTAAAGAGGATAGAAGGAGAGAAAGACAGAGAAAGAGAAAAAAAGAAAAGGAAAAACAGAAGAAAAAACAAAGAAAAACAAAAAAAGAAAGTTAGAAAGTGAAGAAGGAAAAAGATAGAGGAAAGGAAAAGAGAAGAAAAAGGACAAAGACAAAGAGAGGAAGAAAAAGAAAGGAAGAGAAAGAAAAGAGGGGAAAGCAAAAAAGAGAACAAGAAGAAATAGAGAAAAGAAAGAAAAAGACAGGGGAAGAAAATTGAGAAGTGTGAAAAGATGAAAAAAAAAAAAAAAAGGAAAATGAGTGAAAGGAATAAATAAGAAAATGATTTAGAAGAAATAATTGAGTAAGAGAAAGAAAGAAACAAATACACGCAAAGAAAAGAACACAAAGAAATAAACAAAGAAAACGTAGAGAAAATAAGGAAAAAGTGAAGAAAGATAGGAAGAAAAAGAGGGGGAAAGAAATTAAAATATATAGAGAAAGACAGGTGGAAAGTAGATGAAGAAAGAAGTTAAAGAAAGAAAGGAAAAGTAGAGAAAGAAAGGAAGAAAGGAAAAGTAAAGGAAGAAAGGAAAATAGAGAAAGAAAGGAAAGTAGAGAAAGAAAGGAAGAGAGCAAAGTAGAGAAAGAAAGGAAGAGAGCAAAGTAGAGAAAGAAAGGAAGAGAGCAAAGTAGAGAAAGAAAGGAAGAAAGTAAAGTAGAGAAAGAAAGGAAGAGAGCAAAGTAGAGAAAGAAAGGAAGAAAGTAAAGTAGAGAAAGAAAGGAAGAGAGCAAAGTAGAGAAAGAAAGGAAGAAAGTAAAGTAGAGAAAGAAAGGAAGAGAGCAAAGTAGAGAAAGAAAGGAAGAGAGCAAAGTAGAGAAAGAAAGGAAGAGAGCAAAGTAGAGAAAGAAAGGAAGAAAGTAAAGTAGAGAAAGAAAGGAAGAGAGGAAAAAGTAGAGAAAGAAAGGAAGAAAGTAAAGTAGAGAAAGAAAGGAAGAGAGCAAAGTAGAGAAAGAAAGGAAGAAAGTAAAGTAGAGAAAGAAAGGAAGAGAGCAAAGTAGAGAAAGAAAGGAAGAAAGCAAAGTAGAGAAAGAAAGGAAGAAAGTAAAGTAGAGAAAGAAAGGAAGAAAGTAAAGTAGAGAAAGAAAGGAAGAGAGCAAAGTAGAGAAAGAAAGGAAGAAAGTAAAGTAGAGAAAGAAAGGAAGAAAGTAAAGTAGAGAAAGAAAGGAAGAGAGCAAAGTAGAGAAAGAAAGGAAGAGAGCAAAGTAGAGAAAGAAAGGAAGAAAGCAAAGTAGAGAAAGAAAGGAAGAAAGTAAAGTAGAGAAAGAAAGGAAGAGAGCAAAGTAGAGAAAGAAAGGAAGAGAGCAAAGTAGAGAAAGAAAGGAAGAGCAAAATAGAGAAAGAAAGACAAGCATAGAAAGGAAAGAAGAAAAAAATGAGAAAGAAAATAGAGGGCGGTGTAAAGGTTAGAAGGGAGGAAGTGGACTGTGACTTACCCTCATCCCTCCCCTTCCGTCCCCACCTGATCGTGTTAGTAATCATTTGTAAGCAGTGACCTTTTCATATGAAACTTCTATCAGGAGATGTGAAAAGGATATTTTGCTTTGTCTAGCCAACAACAAGTACAAAAATTGATTTTGTCCGCATTTCCATTTCAGTCATCAGTAGCAGTAATTTTCCTTCAACGGCCGATTTAGTCTCCGGTCCCTCCCACAGCCCCGCCTTCCCCGGCTATTGTAGTTCACTGCAATGATGATGACAACCACCACCTCAATTCAATCACTCATCATCTTTCTTTTTAATACACCACAAACCAAGTGCTAGACATTTATCTGGCGAGGTGTCAAACAGTCTGGCTTTAAAAGATCTATTCCTTTCTCTATCTATGACAATTAGATTTCATTCGGCTATTTTTCGTATACACGCGTGTGCGTGTGTGTATGCTATGTTTAAAAGAAAGAAACAAAAGTAAGATATGACTTCCATCTTTTGAAGATCACAATATATAATGACAATTTTGTTAAAACAATTGACCAATAGCTGTCTGATTTGACAACTACTGACTGTAATTGCTCAAGGATAATAATATATTTATCCTAAGATCTCCTCACAAGAAAAAGACATTGAAAATGAGTTGAGGAAGGGAGAAAACAAATATTTCCCAGACAGAACTGCAATAAATACTTAGATACTAAAAAAAAAAAAGATTCTTCACAAAATCTAAATTTACAACATAACATTAAATGAATAAAAAAAAAAAAAACATAACTGACATTTTTTAAAAATTTTGACCTTGCTAAAATTTCATATTGGGAATAAATGAATACAACCAATTGAAAAACTTTTGACATCAATTTAAATACAAAAAGAGAAAATTTTCAAAGCCACTTTAGCCTTATTTTCCAGCTTGTCTTCAGCACAGTTTACAATAAAACTGTTATATGATCCTACTCAAATTTTAACAGTCTTACAAAAATATTAGGATGTGTGAATGGCATAACAGATTGGGGTGGAAAATGGAAATGATAAGCATTCAAATTCCAGCTGGTCAGTTGTGTTCACAGTACTAAAGTTCTTGGAAAAAACCTTAATCTATCACTTCTTTCCCCAACCCAGCTAAGGATAAAATAGTAGGGTATACTATTAAATATAAATAGGAGTACATAGGTTTGTCTATCATCTAGTTCACACTCCTCCCCAGTCTTTTGAACAGGAGTAGAGGTTTAACCCTTGTTTTCTGTTTAAGGTTCCTTCTAAAGTCTTCTCATTCTCTTTCACTCCCAGTAGCCCTTTGCATCTTAGTTAGCAACCAACCCAGGAAAAGGACAACTCTGAATTCAAAACCATGGAGAAAGCAATATGAAACTACTTTACAATCATTCCCAAGAAATTTATGGCAATTTACAAATATTAAACAAAGGGAAATTGTGGAGAGTCATGATCACTGACATCTTGATAGGAGATAGCATTTTAAAAAACTGTTAAATTCTAAGTAAATGTTCAGAATTATCCTACTCATGGACTGAATGAAAAATATCATTTACATAATTTACATGCAAACTACTGTCCCCACAATTGAAAACAATAGTCAGCCTCACCAAAGATAAACAAGTCAAACCCGGTCAGTATTTAGATGGGTGACCATTTGGGAATACTAGGTGCTGTAAGCTTGGATGTGTGGGTAATGTGTGGATGGCAGCTCATAGTTGGAAGCTGAAAATTTGAGTTCTGATTCCAGTCAGGTTTGTTATATTCACTTGTGCACAAATGCCCTTGGAAAAACCTCTTCTACTTCCAGCTATGAGTTAATTAGTAGAACTTCAATCAGTAAACTCATTATCTCCAAAATATTCTTATAATCTAAAAGTATTTTCTGTCTTTAAATAACTTGCAAAGGGTTGATAAGCCATAAAAAACAAATCAATTAAAACAAGTCAGCCTGTAAATAATTATAACTCTTCCTCCCAGAAATTCTGATAGAAATTATTGAAAAAAAATGTTCATTTTTTTGTCTTATCGAAATATGTGAATTACATAGACAAAATTTTATCAGTTTTGATGCATGAAAAGGAAATGTTTTCATATTTTTTTTTAAATATCTATCTTATTTTAGCCTGTCATTGATGCAAGCATTAACTATTTTCTTTTTTTTTAATCATTTCACCCCAAGTAAGGCGGAAATGCCACTAGTATGCAAGGGGCTACAGGGAGAGAAAATGAAAGAGAAGACTGA